TCCAAGCAATTGATTTGAGACTGGTCTATGTATAGTCGAAGGCTTTCATGGCCGGAATCACTGGGATATTGTAGGTTTTTTCGGGGTATATGGCCATATTCTAGAGGCATTCTCTCCTGACGTTTCACCTGCATCTATGGCAAGCATCCTCAGAGGTTGTGAGATCTGATCTCACAACCTCTGAGGATGCTTGGCATAGATTCAAGCGAAACACCAGGAGAGAATGCCTCTAGAACGTGGTCATATAGCCCGAAAAAACCTACAACAACCCTGAGACTGGTCTGTTTTTATCTTCTTCTAGCCATTTGTCCACTTTGGTGAAACTTGAACTAGCTCTCAGTAATTCTGTGGAAGGAAACAACTGATGTAAATCTTAATATTCCTAGGAAGGAAAGCACCAGATGTGCCCTACTATCTGTCTGGGAATGTTAAGATAATGTGTAAGAATCTCATAACTGTTGGAGGCCATGTTCTTCATAATATTGGGAAGTGACCCTCATCACTTGCCTACTATGTTCCCATAACATTCAAATCATAATTTGCTAACTATGAAAAGGCTATGGGCTCATTAGTCAAAATATCATTAAGTAAATATTGTGAGAAGGGGATGAAATGGATCAAGGTTTAGTGCTCATCCCAAGTAAAAAAGGGATGAAAAATAAAAGTAAAGTGTGCAGATGATAAAATGTCATATTTGCACGATTAATGATAGCACAAGATAATGCCTCCAGAAAGTCCCTGTTCCTGCATGTGATAAAGACTCACCCACTGTACGCTAAGTACTTTTGTGAATACATTGTTATCATTGTGTGTCATTGTAAGTATTTACTGCTTCCCATGAGTTCGTGAATATTTTTTTTTAGTAATGAGGCACTTAACTATTCTAAGTTGATAGTGAGGAAAGACTACATTAGTATTGTATTCAGTAGTGCTTTACTTTTTATTTAGTCATTTTTTTGTATGTATCCATATGTAGTGCTGTCATTGTTTCCAAACAAAATGAGGGACAATGTACTTGAAGGAACTAGTTGTAGATGGTATATTGTAGTATTTCAAGCAGTTTTCCGTAAACCTGGTAAATACAATTTATCAGTTCAGCATTTTGTAACTTGTTCTACAGACACAGTAATGGGTAAGGCTCAATGATCTTTTTACATCTATGCTGTGTTAGATATCAAAAATCCATTGGGTGACCTCAGATTCAGAGGAATCCCCTATGAATAAATCCTTCCAAGGAAACCCCATGATAAATTCACCTTAAGAGTCATTGTAAGTCAAATATGTCATGAAGGTACATGGCAACAAGTTTAGAAAAAGGTTAGTTTGTTTACTCTTTGCTAAACCATAGTTACAATAAGTAATAAGAATATGTTTATTGATTAGAAAAGAAAAATTGAAACTTGAGTGCTAGGTCAATCCAGCCTGCTTGACATGTGCAGAACTCTGAAATCACATAAGCATTTATAGCAAATTCAACCCTGTGAAATATTTAGTTTAACTAAAGTCATTTCAATCTACATATGGTGGATAGTTCTGCTCTAGGTAGTTTGTGCTGCTTTAAGCCATTTAAAGGGATTACAGTCTATGACCACTGCATGGATTGAATACAGAGTTTGCTGTCACTAGTAGTATCTCAAGAATCTCAAGAGTTATCTTCAGGAAAGGAAAGCAGAGATAATTTTCAATAATTTCCATACATCCTGTAGCTTCCAGTAACATCTCACCTCATACTTGCAGAGTATCTCGAATCTTATGTGGAATAGTTTTTGGTGAAATAAAAGGATCTGCCAAGAAACAGAAGAATCAGCAACATCATTGTGTCTTTCCCCGAGTTACAAACATCTGACTAATAAATTACTCATAGTTAAGAATGGGGGTGAGACAACAGGAAGCGAGAGAAATCTACCCGTAGGAAAGAGTTAGTATAGGGAAAAGGTGTCTCCACTGAAGCTTTCTCACCAATCCCTTAAAGTACAACTTTAAAGTAAGTGTGTGTATGTGTGTGTGTGTGTGTGTGTGTGTGTGTGTGTGTGTATATCTACAGACACACACTCACACGCGCCTGCATGCATGCATCTGCCTATGTGATATGCAAGACCAAGGATATGCTATGACAAGAATTATATAGAGGCAAGTTCTTGTGTTTCTCCTTGAAACTGAATTTACATGTTTATGTACTATGTCATTAGAGTGTTGGAGCTTAATCAGCTACTTGTTCATTTACCAGAAAATGCACACTTCTGAGTTTGCAGAAGGCCAATAATAGGCCATGATCTTATAATAACATTTTGAGAGAGGTGATTATTATACCCAATTTGCAGTTGGACATATTAGGAAAGGCCTCCAATATCTTTATTTATTTACCTGCTGAGATAAGGGCAAGTTGCAGAAACCCAGAAATTATATCTGGCTACTAAGAGCTGTAAAACTGAGTGGATGCAAGTTCTCTTTGTTTCACCTATTTGCAACAGAAATTACTGGCTTCACTGGAGGAGTCAGACTGGCTGCATAGAGTCCTGGGGCAGTTTATTCAGGATAAGGGCAATGGTTCATGCCCTCATTCTACTTGGCTTTTTGACATTGTCACATCTGTCAAATCTCATTATGTGGCACAATGTCTAGTATTGTTTCAAGCCCACATTGTTGTTGTTGCTGCTGCTTTAAAACAGTGTTTCTCAACCTTCCTAATGCCATGACCCCTTAATACAGTTCCTCATGTTGTGGTGATTCCCAACCATTAAATTATTTTTGTTACTACTTCATAGCTGTAATTTTGCTACTGTTATGAATCATAATGTACATATCTGATATGCAGGATGAACTTTCATTCACTGGACCAAATTTGACACAAATACATAATACGTCCAAATTTGAATACTGATGGGGTTGGGGCAGGGGCTGATTTTGTCATTTGGAAGTTGTACTTGCTGGAATTTATAGTTAACCTACAATTAAAGAGCATTCTGAACTCCACTAACGATGGAATTGAACCAAACTTGGCACACAGAACTTCCATGGCCAACAGAAAATACTGGAAGGGTTTAGTGGACGTTGGCCTTGGGCTTTGGAGTTGTAGTTCACCTACATCCAGAGAGCACAGTGGACTCAAACAATGATGGATCTGGACCAAACTTGGCACAAATACTCAATATGCCCAAATGTGAACACTGGTGGAGTTTGGGAAAATAGACCTTGAAATTTGGGAGCTGTAGTTGCTGGGATTTATAGTTCACCTGCAACCAGAGCATTCTGAACCCCAGCAACGATAGAATTGGGTCAAACTTCTCACACAGAACCCCCATTCCTTGAAGCCTCCCTCCAACCTCATACACTCTGTCTCACCCGCACATGTGTACCATGCTGCCATACACCGAGCCCACCTGCTCTCCCTTCCCCACTTGGAGTTTCAGAAACTGCCCTCTCCTTGGCTGAGAGGGGCCAATTACAATGGAGGGGGGATTTTGGGGGAGGATTCGCCACTGTCTGTTTCCTAAAAGGAAGAGGAGGACAGGCAGAGAGATCTTCATCTTTCTCTGCCAAAGAGGTTCCTAAGACCATCAGAAATATGTTTATTTCCTATCTTTAACACAACATTTGGTACCAGAGGCAGATATAACAAGCAAAAACAGGAATAGTTTCCTATACCAGCAGTTCAATATCTTTCAGCAATGTTTTCTCCAAACTTAACAGTAGACACAAGTGAAATGAAGCAACCATGTCTCCTAAGTCTGACTTCATTAAACAAAACATTGTGAGCCTTCTGGAAATTACTTGAAAGCTTCTTTGAGGGATGATTTTCTTTATTTCTTTCATCAGCTTCTGTCTTAAGACCTTCATATTGGTGTCAAAACACATCTATGTGTTTTGTTTTGTTTTTTTAAGAAAAATGCTCAGAGTAGCTGGTTCGGCTTGTATGCTTTCCCCTTTTTTTGTTTTATTGTTCATGTATGCCAAGTAAGAGATTCTCAGGGCAATTGCTATTTACCTTCTCTTTGGTAGACAGACACACATGTCTGCAATAGAAGTGCTAAATTGGAATTACATTTTCTCCCAGACGAAGCATTGTGTACTGCTTGCAAACTGCTACAAATCAACACCAAATGCTTCTGCTTCTCCAGCCCTTCTTCACAATCCTTCTTATGCTGGTGCTGCTTTAAAAAATTCCACCGTCAGAGGATGAAGAAGAAAGAATGCCAGGGTCAACTGGGCATACAATAATTGTAAAAAGGAATGTCTTTGCCAGAAGTTTTAATACTTAAGGTGTCCTTATAGTGGAGAAGTGGTTCATTATACTTTTTTTCCTTCAGACAAACTTTCTTTTTCGCTGAAAATTTCAATGGACAATAATATGGTAAAGCCACACCTTTGAAACTGAGAGAATGAAGTTGAAGTTGATAAGTATTTCAGGTTTATTTTTTTAAAAATGTAGAACACCATGCTTTATTCTCATTATGCAGAAAAAGGAAAATTTACTTCATCATTGTGAGAAAATTCTTCAGAGAAATGGTCCTAAAATATTGGCTGCAAGTCTCTTGTGACTATTGACATTTAGCTAGATCCTCTCTAGGTATAAAACAGCATTGAACTTAGCAGATAACACTACCATGCTAATAAATTTGGAGTAATTTACCATTTTTCATCTCGATATTCATAGTCTCTAGTGGATAGACATGCGAAGGAATGAAAGATATTCACTCTCTTATCTCTATTCTATGATTAAAGTTTAATCCCTTGATTATAACTGCCATGGTGGTCAGAAGATATTCGGCCACATCTAATAATCCAGAAGAGCCATTCGTGAGACATATTAAAAGTGTTTTTGTATACACCTTTCTGTGGCACAGTGTTTTCTAAGCAGAAATATGTTGCTGCATGGAGCAGGGAGTAATAGGTTTTGTTTTATGCAGAAATGCAAGTATGTTCAGTATGACCCTTAAATGTGGGATCTTTTTATGTGGAATGCAGGTATGTTAATGAAGTGCTTTTTGTTGTTATTTCAGGAAACTTGCCATACGAATATAAAATAGTGATTGCTGGGAATCATGAACTGACATTTGATAAAGAATTCATGGCAGACCTTGTCAAACAGGATTACTACCGCTTTCCTTCTGTCTCCAAATTGAAACCAGAGGACTTTGACAATGTTCAATCACTTCTGACAAACAGTATTTACTTACAAGATTCTGAGGTAACAGTCAAAGGATTCCGAATATATGGCGCCCCTTGGTAAGTCTCCATTTAAATTTTCTCTCCTTGTATATAAGATTAGTTTAGCTGTACATCAAAGTTAGTGCCTTAAGAAATGTTGCCATTTCTTTTGATAAAGTATTGAGAGTAGTTGTAAAATATATGTTCCTATGATTCAAACTCTTGCCCTGATTTTGGGTACTGCTCTTATTTTCTTTTATAAGTTTATTGGTATCTCAGATTTTACATGAACAATTTATATTGCCTGAGGGAATGGATGCCAACATTAACTAGTCTTTTCCATAGTAACTCTGCATGCTGCTTGATTACTATAAAACTGCTACACTGCTGTTCTTTCCCCTTTACCTCTGTGAAAGGGAAGTCAAAGAAAAACCAAAAGGAGCCTGCTGTCTGATCTGTTTAATCCACTCATTGCAAAAAAATGAAGCACCTATGCTTTTTGTAAGACACTGTTAATGAAGTCTATCATAAGTGGCTTATTCTCCCAACCCTTTTGCTGGCAATTTGCTAATTAGATACTATTTATATTTGAGATTGCTGTTAACACATCTATATCTGTACTGATTACAGTTAAGGTCCTTTAAAAAACTAGTGTGAAAATCAAATGCTTGTGTTTAATGTTTACAAGAAATTATGACCTATATCTTCTGCCCCAAATTTTCTGCTGGATGCATTTTAAATTAAAATGTCACAATTATTATTCCCCCTCCCATAGTTTCTTACTATCTTGCTATTTATATTTTTTCAACATTCTTTAATTTAAAGCAATTAAGACAAAATTTCTAAGTATTTCAGGAGTGAAAAAAATTCAGCAGCATAAATATGCTTCAGTTAGTAACTGTGAAATGTCCTTCATATATAATGACTTATTTTCTGTTTTCTGAAAACCTCTCTGCACAGTTTCTGATTCATGGTAGTTCACGGATCACACTGTCAATAGGGGTCTAGTATCTAGATGTTATAAGGCTGCTGTGCATATGTCTCTTATGCTCCCATGTAAAGCACATACAATTAGTTTGTGTTATTTTAACAATGAATAGAGGATATTGTTCTGAAGCATTTTCCCTCATGGACTTCAACTCCTCAAGTTCAATTCATTGGGCAAGGCATGATACTTCATCCCTAGCTCATTTCAGTATAGGAGATATTTGGAGGATTGTTTTCTCTACATCTTGCCACTATCACATATGCATTTAGTGCATACACATGAGAGAGCACCTGATCCCAAGGGGTTGTTAACATGTGGTTCAGAATAGGGATTGGAATGCAAGACAGATTGGTAACTGGTTACTGAGGGCCCTTCCAGACATAGCTAAATCCTGGGAGGCACTGGGATATTAAATCCTGGATCAACCCCGGGAAGCATACACCCAACCCCAGCTCCCCCATTCCTACCTCCACCATCAACTTACCTGAAGGGGCTGCTGGCAGTGCAGCCCTCTTCAGACAGTCCTCCCAGTGCTGGAAGGGGAGAGGGTGTGTCTCATCCTGCTCCTTTGGGCTCCTTGAGCCCAAAGAACTGGGATTGCTGTGGGGATTGACCCAAATTCCAAATGCTGAGGCAGAGTCAATCCCCACAGGGCCCTCACCTGGAAAGATCTGAACCTTAGCGTAAGGTTTCATTAATCCAGAGCAAACAGGGAAATTCTAGTTTTCTCCAGATCAGTTTGGTTTTACTTGAGACATCCTGGCTTTTAGGCCTTTCTGGAAGGACCCATAGTTTGACAAGCTTGGTGTGTGTTGCCATTTTTTTTTAAAAAAACTTTTAGTACATATTACCACAGGCTAGCAGGGCTTCTGAAATGGAGGCATACCTTAGAGTACTAAGGTTTTAAATGGTGAGATATCATGGTAGGATGAATCCCAGGGAGTTTGTTTTGTGTCAACACGTCTTTTTCTTCAGTGAAAGTATGTATGGATTATATTTCACCCAAGTGAGCAAGTGATTGAGCCAGTGTGCGTGTGCACCTTCCCTCTTCTTTTTCCTTCCCTTCTAGCCCAGTAGCTGATGGGAGAGAGACATCAATTCCCATCTTTTTTTCTTCCCTTGTCTGATCCCTCCATCCCTACAGATCAGCCACTTTCAAGGCCTAAAGGGTCACAATTCTGTCAGTGTTCTTAATGTTGTGAGTAGATGAAGCTAAAGAAACCATGAGTAGAGATAAAACTAAAAAATCTGTGTGGTTTGTCTCACTGCAAGATTGCATCCACATTCTCTCCAGTTGTCTCCAACCCATCATCCCATCAACTGTGTTATCAAGTGTCAATAGAGTACATAGAATAGAATAACTTTATTGTCATTTAACATTGTGACCCTTTGGGGCACCTTACTATCTGCCACTGTTCAGTTACCAAACCATGCACAGATGCAGTAGGTTAGGATACTATAGCACAGCAGTAGAAAGTCACTAGCAGTTTTTCATTCAGTTGTTGGTTCCTTAGAAGTCTGAGGTAGTACTGTCTCTGCTGGGCCCTCTTAACCAAAGCTGCCGTATGGGTGCCCCAGGTCAGCTCCTCCTTAACAGTAACCCCCAGGAACTTAAAACTGGCCACTTGGTATACATGGTCCCCATTTTTGACCAAGTACTGGATTTCTGGTCTGTTTTATCTGTAGTCCACAATGAGCTCCTTGGTCTTATTGATGTTAAGAACTGGATTATTGTCGCTACACCACGAGAGCAGCCAGTCTACCACATCCCAATAGACATATTCATTCCTTTCAGAGATAAGCCCCACCACAGTTGAATCATAGCAAATTTTGTAATGTTATTGGTAAAGTCTGCAAAAAGCATCCTCATATAGTTCCCCCATCCTTCAGGTGGGTCTGAGCAGTGTGGAGCTTGATGGCTATGGCATCCTATGTCAATCTGCTGGCTCTATTTCTAAACTGAAGTTTGACCAATGTGCATGGAGGGCAAGAAATGATAGAAGTACAGACCAGTTTTTCAAGGGACTTCATGATAATGGAAGTGAGTGCCACAAATCTGTAGTCCTAAAAATTACTGGTAGGGAAATTGTTTGGTACCAGAACAGTGATGGAGGCCTTCAAACAAGATGGAGTAATACACTCAGATAAAGTTTGGTTGAAATCACAGTTAAAAACACAAACCAGTTGGTCAGCACAGTCTTTAAGCACCTGGCCAGAAATACCATTTGGTCATCAGTCTTCCTAGGATTTGCAGCCCTCAAAACGTGCCTTACCTCATGTTCCTCCACGATGAGTTGGGAGCTGCATCTACTCAGTAACTGAATTCCACCTACCACTGGTGGGCTTATTTCAAAGCAGGCAAAAAAGTGATTCAACTTCTCTGCCAATGAAGCATCCCCCTCAGCAGGAATGGCATTGTTTAATTTACAGTTAGCAATTTGTTTAATCCTCTGCCACACCGCCTTACATTGTTACTGTGGAAATAATCCTCAACCTTCCTCTAATATTTCATCTTGGCCTCCCGGATGTCTTTCTTGAGGCTTGGTCTGGCAGCACTGTATTTCACCTCATAACCAGACTTCCTTGGTCAACCTGGGTTTTAGGCTGGGATGAATCCAGATGTGTTTGTCTCCAGTGACATCTGTGCAATTATTTGATGTCGCTCAGAACAGCTGCAGTATGTTCTTCCAGGTCTGAGTGGTAGAAATGTCCCAGTTTGTCCTCTCAAAGCAATCCTGAAGTTGTTGGGAATCATCTTTAGGCCAGGATTTCACAGTCTTTGTTTTAGACAGGGCCTGTTTCCTGAGAGAAATATATGCTGGTGCCAAGAACAATTACAAATGATCTGACTGCCCCAAGTGTAGTGATTTTATGACCCTGTAGCCTTGTTTAATGTTTGTATACGCCAGTGGTTCCCAACCTTTGTTCCTTTAGGTGTTTTGGACTTCAGCTTTCACAATTCCTAACAGCTGTTAAACTGGCTGGGATTTCTGGGAGTTGAAGTCCAAAACACCTGGAGGACCAAAGGTTGGGAACCACTGATATACATTTCATCCAGCAAGTTAGCTCCCCTGGTGCCACCCTTAACATGCTGATAGAATTTGGAGAGCATGGTGTTCAAGTCGGCATGGTTAAAGTCTTCTGCTATAATGTGCATGTTCAAGGGCTGCTGGAAATAAAGGGCGATGAGTTATCCACTACATTCTAAACACTTTAGGGTTAGGTAGGTCCATAAGTTGTTAGTAGCTGAAGTATATCTTTTTCAAACGTGGCAGCATTTTTAAAAAATCTGTGCATGCTATTTAAAAGGAAGATTAAATGATCACATTTAGCCTCTTGCTCAAATAAATGTGATATTGCCTATACATTGTAAGACCTTGGTGAATTCTAATTGGCAGAGTTCATTTTAATTCACTTTAAGACTATCCCCTTAAAGACATATAAGTGTCCTTTACCCGAGTGTCTTCATCCACTTCATTGAAGAAGACAAGAGCATCTAAATCCTCCAGTAGCACTTGTTTGGATTTGAGGCTCAAGCCAGAGGGCTGCAGTTTGCTCGAATGTTAGCAGCTAAGATTAAGAGATGAAGAGATTTCATGTTAAATATGTGAGCTCTAGACAGAGACTTTTTTCATCTCCCTTCTGCAATGAAATATATGGAAGTGAACATTGGTGAATTGAAGTCTAAAGGTATTTTAGTGGGAGAGAGAACTAAACATTACAGAGTGTTGGAGAGGAGGGTTGCAGTAAGCTCATGTTCTGAAACTTAATTCATATTAGCAAGACCAATACTCCGATCCTAACCACTTAGATATTAGGTAACACCATTAAAATCAATGGGAATTTTGCCATTTAGCTCAACATGGCATGAACTATACCTGCTGAAATCCCAGTAATATATTTTTCTTAATCATGACCAACATTTAAATTCAGGTATCTGGTTTTAAATGAATCAGTTTGAGAACCAAAAAGGCTTGTTTATTTGTTATGTTTCTTGTCACAAATCTGCCATTATATTAGCAGAAGTGACACTCATTATCTGCTACAGTTGACAATTCAGTCGTTATTTGTTAACTATAGCTATGAATTT